CGTTTCGATGTAATTTTTCATCTCATCAGGTGGAGACAGCAGGATTTGAACCCAGGACCATTGGAATAGCAGCCAACACTACTACCCCTTTGGCTACCGGGTCACGATGGGCAATGCAGTGTTTTCGGGTGGGCAATACCCAATTTCCATCTACTTTGAATACGGTCCCAGCGATCGCAGTGACTACGGTTCATTTCAATGTGAATCACAGTCTATTAAATTGAGGTTGCGTGTCGCAATCCAATCACACAACGTGTAATCCAAACTTGACCCTCCAATTAGTCATCTACCGTTGTGACAAAAAAGCATTGCCCATCGTGACCCGGTAGCCAAAGGGGTAGTAGTGTTGGCTGCTATTCCAATGGTCCTGGGTTCAAATCCTGCTGTCTCCACCTGATGAGATGAAAAATTACATCGAAACGCGTCGTGGTTGTGCAGTGTTTTCGGGTGGGCAATACCCAATTTCCATCTACTTTGAATACGGTCCCAGCGATCGCAGTGACTACGGTTCATTTCAATGTGAATCACAGTCTATTAAATTGAGGTTGCGTGTCGCAATCCAATCACACAACGTGTAATCCAAACTTGACCCTCCAATTAGTCATCTACCGTTGTGACAAAATGCATTGCCCATCGTGACCCGGTAGCCAAAGGGGTAGTAGTGTTGGCTGCTATTCCAATGGTCCTGGGTTCAAATCCTGCTGTCTCCACCTGATGAGATGAAAAATTACATCGAAACGCGTCGTGGTTGTGCAGTGTTTTCGGGTGGGCAATACCCAATTTCCATCTACTTTGAATACGGTCCCAGCGATCGCAGTGACTACGGTTCATTTCAATGTGAATCACAGTCTATTAAATTGAGGTTGCGTGTCGCAATCCAATCACACAACGTGTAATCCAAACTTGACCCTCCAATTGTTATTGGTGTTATCACAAGCACCCTAAAAAGTTTCTCATTCCCAGGGCCCCCTGAAAATTTGCAACGGCCCCCAGGGGGTCATATGACTGAATGACACGTTACCGCTAGTCGCTCTGGAGAGGCACGACGGCCCTTAATAACCGCCAATAATGCTAACGAATTAGGAGATAGCCTGAACAATTATTGATTTTAAAGAAAACAATAAGGCTGCCTGTCATAACCACACGACTGTCAGGTAGTCAGAAATATAGGGACAACCGTTTTGTCTACTTTCGATTAGTAAGTAGTATGCATCAAATCAGCATGTTAGGGTCATGAGACGGTTGCTCCCGAATCAGATGGCACCACGTCAAATGGCGTAACAATGGTGATTATACTGCGCTGTTATTGCACATAGAAAGTAATTTAATGAACCGTACAGAACAATTTCATTCCCGTATGACATATCGGTGCCTGGGTATTCTGGCAAGTTAACACGATGTTAGGTAATGTTATGAAGATTGCATCGGCGATATGCTGGAGCCGCGTGTCGATGAATCGTCGCTACGGGCTGTAAATGCTAGGAGGCTGCTAGTACTCATGCATGATTAAATCAGTGAAAACCCCATGGATGGATATGCTTTTCCCATCAGGTTCCGGTACGAAGTTGCTACTTCCTGCTTCGATTATATGGTCTGGAATGGTGATGAAACGTTTACAAGCCAACTACCTAGCTCAGTAACAAGCTTAACAAGCATTCCGAGCTACTGCTATTTCAAATAGCTTCGAATCAGAGATCTGTGCTTACAAATCAGACTGCCGACCGCTTATACGATATCATACATTCGAGCGCATGGCCCCTAGAGGCACCGACGAATACTCTGACGTTTGAATCACGATGGATACTGATAGCTGACGTGACCGAGAAGATAGCTAAGGTGTGACGTCCATATCCCACTGTGGTTCCGAAGACAATGTTAATCTAGACTAGTGCGGATGCCCTACAAAGTCCAGCTGGGACTAAATGCTTTAGTGATCGCGTGTGGTCACACTTCGAAGGCCACATGCATAGAACACAGGATATCGGGTGCAATTATTTCCAATGTAGCCTGATGTTATAAGAGGATCAAAAGGACGGCAATATGTTAGACATTGGAATCAGAGGATTTAGTCGATGACTTATGAAGGCGATAGAAAGGGAAGAGGCAATGTAATCCTAATTTAGCCTGTATTCCGTCTGACTTGTCCGCACTGGAGCACTGGAGTAACTCCTGGAAGTTGCACTTTGCCACTGACAAGAGTAATCTATTGTACCATGGCTGTGGTCCTTCTCTGAACATCCTAACATTAAACGATACCCCTATTCCTGTGTGTGGCGCAATCAGAGACCTTGGTCTAATATATTCTGCCTCATTTAATTTTTTAGAGCATGTTATATTCTTGCAGGCTTCTGCCAGAAAAGTGATCGCTTACATAAGTCGAACTCCTATCTTGAGGGATTTCAGGGTTCAAGTCTTTAAAATAGGTGTCAGGCCGAAGCTTGAGTACTGTACGATAGTGCATGGTAATCTGGGGAAAAGTGGACATCATAGCACTAGAAAACATTTAACGATCATTCACAAAGAGGTTTTTGAACATGCCTAATACTATGATATACCGTGAGCGTTGCGAGGCTCTAAAACTGGAACCGCTATGGCTACGCAGACTCAAACTTAATCTGTGCATTCAATACCGTTTGCTATTCGGATTAAGCTTCACTGCTCAGCCACAACTCGAGTTTCAGGCTCGTATGCGCTATGCACTAAGAAACAGCGGGCGCATATCGCAAATACAAAAGTCTCACACAAAGCTCCGCTCAAATTATTTTTCCGTAAAATATGCGTTAATATGGAACAAACTTCCATCGAGTATTAGAAACTGCACTACCTATCCGCAATCCACATGCATGATTAATATTCACCTGACTGTTTCAAATATCTGGTCAACACTAAGCTAAACGATGACTAGATGATTTGTATGAGAAAGGTCCTGGATACATTTGAAAGTGGCCATATCCTCTATTCGTTTCAATATTATAAGGTTACCTACATATAGTTAAATTCTTGAGTATGTACTTATAAACGGTCTTAGTCCTAGCACTCCGTCTAACCAACTCTGTTTTCTCCTTTGACACACTGATTCGTAGATGCACTACGCCTTTCAAGCTGATGTCTCTGTACCATCGTCGTCACTCGCCAAGATTTTCCATCAAATTGCGATTGACCTATCGACAAGCGATTGTATTCATTACTATGTTTTTTATTTCCTCATACTTTATCTTCTTCGTTTCATTGTTTGCCATGACTGGGCTGATCTCTTGTGGTGGATTGCAGCTTCCAAAATAAAAAGTATACCCATATTGCTGCTGACTCGTTGACTTAAAACAAAAATGTGCCACACTTGATTGATCTGCATGACGGAACGGGCTGAGGCTTCATTGCCCATAATGTATGCATAAAACAGCCCTTAATAATAAAAAAACATTTGATACCCAGCTGATGGTCTATTTACTATTTTGCCACATCGGCACAGAGCCAACCGGAGCATGGAAGTGCGGGTGAAACCCATCGAGTGAATACCCTGCAAGCAAGTCCCCTGGGGACAGTTCCATGGATGGTCGTATTACTTTACTTGAACTTTCTGTGGACGACACGTTTGTCATCAAACGAGATTCCATACAGAATACCCATGAGTTAATCAACAACACGTTCCAAGACATCAAGTTTACAACTGAACTCGAAAAAGACAACCAGTTACCATTCTTAGATGTACTGGTCCAAAGAAACACTGACGGAACATTTCAGATACGTGTATATCGAAAGAAGACCCACACAGACCAAATATTAAACTACCACAGCAACCATCCACTGAACCACAAGAAAAGCTGCATTCAAAGGCTTTTCAATAGGACCGAAACACACTGCAGCACGACAGAATTGAGGAAAAAGGAAGAGGACCATCTACACCGGGTATTGCAAAACAACGGGTATCCAAGAAACTTCATCAGAAGAAGCCTAAGGAAGAGGGTGCAGCAACAACAGCAGGAAAACATAGATAAACGGATAACGCTTCCTTACATCAAGAATGTATGTGAACTAACGTCAAGATTGCTACGACCACATAGAATCTTGGTAGCCCACAAACCAACTGGTACTTTGCGAAGATTGCTTTCAAGACCGAAGGACAAAGTTAAACAAGGCAGTCAGAATGATGTCACCTACACAATTAACTGCAAAGAGTGTGACAAACGCTACATCGGGCAAACTGGAAGGAAACTGCCAACACGGATCAACGAACACAGAATGGCCATACGGAGACACGATCCACATTCACTGGTTTCCATGCATGAAGACCAAGAAGGCCATCACTTCGACCTAGAGAACGTTAAGATAGCCCGTGGAAATTCGAGACAAGCTAGAGAATTCTTGGAAGCATGGTATTCTTCGGACAATTCAGCAAATCGACACGTTGAAATAGATGCTATATATACAGCGCTACGGATGTAAAATCACCGAATTAGTAGAATAAATCTAACGGAACGGACCGCCACACTAGTGCATCAAACGACGACAACCGAGGAGTCACGCGCGCGTACACTACGAGGTGAGAATCAGAGATCCATTTCGATGGTCATGTGCTTGTCGAACAATCCAAACTCAGACTAGTGGCTAGATCGATCACTCAGACTCACGGACACTTCATACGCGCCACTCTGCTAAGTACACGCGCACTGATGTCACCTCGAGTGGTGACGAAACATTTGCAGTCAACCTGCCGAGCTCAGCGAACACTCAGTCCACCGACTGAACAACCCGAGCTACCAACATCTGCTTCCATATCAACATTTATTATTTCTCCCAATTTCGCAATCTCTCTATTATTTGCAAACTGCTAACCACTTCAAAAAACCCATAAGGGAGCCATTGAACAAAACATGTAAAATTAACTATATTATGCGATCACGTTGCACATGTTGATAAGACCACTCAATTTGTTTGTACCACGCACCGTCGAGGAATAAAAAGTTTATTCAGTTATTTATTTATAATTATGCTGCACTCACTTTAGCAATTTATCTTCAGCATGCTGCTTTAGAGCCATGTATTTGGTCTCTTGTCGTTGTAGTAAACTTTTGTACTCCGCAATGCTTCGTTTGAGCGATTCTTCATTCTACCGGAGGTATAGAAAAAGGCCAATGAGCTTTGATGAAACGGAAAGTGCGTTCGACTTCAGTGTCGTTTGGAAAAAACTTAGAAAAGCAACTCAGCGATTGACAGAACTGTCGTAGTTTGCAGTTGAAATAGCCTGTAGACAGTGAAAAAGAAGCTCATGGGATATAAATACATCCAGCAAATCATAGGAGTGATGAATGCTGGGGCTGTAGCATTCAGTTCATTGCGTTACGCCGTAACGCACTCTGTTCGACGATAAAGACGACGTATCGAACCAATTCCGGGTTTGACTTTTGTCAGCTTGCTGTCTATTTTTTGTCCCTTTGTTGCCAATGATTTACAGCATCGTGTTACAAGGAATAAATTTGATTACATCCACAGCAACGTTCTTCAGCTACAATGGGAGATGAAGGCAATGGGCCAATAATCTTCTTACAGAAGCATAAAAAACGCCTCCAATGCAAAGGTGGAGGATACGAAACGCAAGCACGGTAACCAGCCATAACAGCAGAATGCGTACAATCTTCTGAACACATCTGCACAGTACCAAATGAACGCGCTCGGACTGTACATCACGCTCTAACCTATTTTTTTCCTAGCTTTGTGGATAGGTTTTTGTCTGTTGACTTATTGTTTGGTCGTAACGGATTATAAGTATGAAGTACTGACGAATTATCGGTGCTACCCAGGGGGATGAAAGAACTACCCTCACACCGGTGATTGGTAACAGCGACATTGAAGTTCAGAATAACTGTTACCCACCATCAATGTTTCTAAGCTACCCAAGCAAAGCATACTTAGCCAGCTCACTATCCGTCAAGAGATCAAAGTAAACGGAAGTCAGACGGCTTTGAAAAGGAATTTATCAATTCTACTCTAACATTTCTTCGGGGGCATCAAAACAGCCACACACAAAGATGGCACTAATCTCGTGTTACTTGTTAGTGTACAGTTCGTAAGCGGCTGGCTAAATCCCATTCAAAAGAGTGATTACTGTCCAATACGTTAATAAAATGGAGAGATCTTGGGCTGTCTTGGTGACATTCACTTTGCTTTCGAAACCCAAATGCACACACAGTGATAGACGAAGTTAAAACAAAGTGGATTATTTAGATCGCCAACCACGAATATTAGTTTCATCAAGGCGAGCTAGACAGCAAAAACGTTTGGTCCTGGTCCCGTTGCATTGAGCAGCTATGACAATAAGTTCAACAAACAGCAGAAAACAGATAACAAAAAGATAAATAATAGTTAAAAACACCCGAATGAAAGAAGACTCATTCTGAGGCAATGGGTATGGTGGTAGTTGGAGAGCGAGCAAGGTCAGTTTCACACGCACGCGCACCATCGTCGGACAAACGGACAGCCCACGCTATTGCGACCAAATCATGTGACTGTCACGTGCGCTCGATCAGGTGATCGATCGAATGAGCTAGTGAGTTAGAAACACAGCTAATTGGACAGAACCTAGGAATCGAGTGGGCTCGTGTGCTTAACCAATGTGTTTTCATTCTATTGACGCAGCTGGGAGACCCAGGCACAAAACAGGGTGACAGAGGTACAGCGGTACCAAACCCTGCTCGTCACTGAGGGGCAATCAATGAGGACATTGCCAACCCCGCTAGAGATGAGAGAAAACACAATGTCGCACAACTGGAAAGTAAGGAAAACGGATTGGATGGAATTCGCGGCGTTAATCCAGTTGGATGAATGTCCAAAACTATATCAGTTGGCAATGTTCAGATACTCCATCGACTCCGAAGCAAGTCGGTTAATGGAGGCCTGGGATCTTTGGGACAATGAACCGGATTTTAGGGAAATAATCGAGCGTTTTGAAGCATACTGTGAAGGTCGATCGCATTCTTTTACCCATTGCCGCTGAGTGGCCGAGAATCGTCCAGTCGAGCCTGAAAGCGATGGACAGTCGCAAGAGCGATGTCTAAATAACTTGGAAAATCAGGATCAGCATTGCATTTCTGCAATACCACAGACCCAAGGATTATCCGTACCGTCAAGCAAGTAGTCCGAGAAACAATACATCCGAGTACAGTGCAGTGTGACACAGAGTTGGCACAAAAGGCGGAACCAATTCATGGTACACCTGAAAGGGAATTCTGTGGTGGGCATCCTCAAAAAAGTAAAAAAAAGACTTATCAAACTCAAAGAGACGCATGAGGATCCTTATCTAATGCTACAGAGAAGAAATACGCGTTCTACCGCATTCAGTAGCAATCTAGTGTAGCTCCAATTGATTCACAGAGTAGACCGCAAGCTCGCCCGCAGTGGACTAGGATATGGAAATTGCAACAAGAACTACGAAAAAAGGGAGGATGTGGTGGTAACTGGCGAGCGAGCAAGGCCAGTTTCACACGCGCGCTCGCAATCGCCAGACAAACAGACAACCTACGCTATCGCAGCAAAGCCGTGTGACTGCCTCAGTGCGACCGATCAGGTGAGCGAGTGAGTTTTAAAACACCGGTAAGTGTACAGATCCAAAATTGAGAATAGAGTGCTTGTGTGCTAATCCCATGTGTCTCTTTTCTTTTGACGCGGCTGGGGAACCCAGAGACGTGACAATGGGGTGGGCTCACTTCAGTTCAGTTTGGTTGATCAACTAGGATCCGAGCACCGAAGTGCGGTGGATCCAGTTGCCACGACTCACATCGCAAGAATAACGATAAATAACAACGGCAAAATATGCGAGCTAAAGGTAAATAGATTACAAAGAAAAGGGAAGCAAGAAGGAAGTGAGTTTAACTAATCAGAATGGAACGAAAATTAACAACCAGGTGCAAGAAAACGAATGCAGGAACGCCACTGACTGCGTTACTGCGTCACGTCTGATTCGGTCTCCAACCATTGGTGAGGACCATTCCAAGGCCCCTATGCACGAAGACAGCACGTATCAGCCCAACCAAGTCTCGCTGACAATTTTCTCATCGCACTATGCACGTCATGGAGTGGCCACCGCGCGGGTTCAAACAAACTTGGTGCAGCCCCGACGTAGGTATCCAGCGGATCGAGTTACTGGACCACTAGAGGCGGTCAAGCCTTAGATAAACGGTACAGATGTCGGAGTGCCTGATGCTGTTCCGTAACTTAAAACGCTGCTGCTACCGTCCACTAAGTAACAGTCAGGGGTTTGTATAACGTTTCTAGTCATAGTTCCACCAGTGGAGATACTGCCAACTGTAGATGAGCCGTCAACGTGGCTTGCACAGATCGTTGTGCAATATTCTCTCTTAATGAATTGCTCATACCTCGATGATGTGCAACCTTAACAGGTTTAAATGTTACTCGCTTGCTTCTCAACCACATTTTTCGCTCAGAACTGATAATAACCGCCAGGTTGAAAGAAGTGTCAGAACCTGATCTGTTTACTACCTCACTAATTCCGTTGGTACCATCTAATGTTTTGTATGATTTCATACCGTAGACTTTCAGGGCTGTTGAACCGCAGGCCACTATTTTGACAATGCTAAGCCCTTATCGCAAGACTTCAAGCAGTCACTTTCCTAGTTAATTCTGGAAACTTTAGTGCGTCGAAGTTTTGTTGCAGAGGTAACCAATATACGACCACCTTTTTTAAGGTGGAGTGAGGTCACGCTTCTTGATGAAATATTTAGCTAAAAACCCATTTTTAAATTGGAACAGTATAGGACAACCGTAACGTGTGACATTTTCCCAAATTCGGGTGCATCTACACCAGTGGGTCTGTATGCCACGTGCCTTAAGCAACACCTTTTGAACAGTGTTGATTGCCAACCTGTCGGGCAGATTGAAAACGACCGCATTTCTCGAACATCCCATCCGACTGTATACTTCCGTTGAAATTGCGTCGATAAATGCGCAACATCCCTCAGGATACTTGCCACAGCCTTCAAAGGCAATTCAAAAAAGGAAGTCGTTTCATAGAAGCAACCGTGGACTCAACACTTCCGACTTGTAATTTAAGTTATGCAACATCATTATCAACTTTGCTTACATCTTCAGATTACATTTTTGGTCTCGCTACGAGCGAGGTGGAGCAAACTTTTACCTCCAGGCTTACGGGCACTATCCTTCTGAGCCATCCCGAATAGTCTCGGTAGACACCCAGTACACACTGACTAAGTTAAGGAGATGGAAGCTACGAGAGAAGAGCAGTGAGCCTCCGGATACGCAGTACACAGAGTAGGTGCAGAGGACCTGACAAGGAAAATATAAACTGTAACCCATTCTGAATTATGGTTCAGTGACTTCAACTCGCAGAACTCCATATCAGCAGCCCAGCACTACCCATAAGAATCGTTATAGTTTGACTGTAAGTATGGAACTCAGTCGATGTCTCCGGCGGGCGAAGATTTTCTAGGATTACGAAGATGGTTTAAAGCAGCACCAGAGCGTTGAGCGATTGTGTGCTGCGTTTGGTGATGATGCGCCTTCAGGAACCACCGTGTCTGAGTGGTTCCCGGAATTCCAGCGTGGCATGCAGTCCCTGGATGGTAAGGCACGTTGTGGTCGAACTGTGGAGGCCACCATGTTACACTCAACCGAAATCAGAACAACAGTATTGCAAATGGAAGTTTAGTAGAAGCAATGGCAATAGTACATCGGCAGTCCACACTGGGTACAAGATCAACTGTTTAAATCTGATAAGGCTTTCATCCCAACAGTTCACAAGCTACATAGTAGAGCCTAGTCAGGAAAAGCGCCAGACGCGTTTCGCCCTATTGGGGCTCGTCAGTGGCGTGCATTCCCTCTGTCCTCTAAGGAGGATCGAACCCATGACCGCTAGAGGCAGATGCTAACTAGCCAGCAGCTTAAGCCACTGAGCCATGGGGGACGTTGGCTGGGCTACATAATTTTTTTTAAAGTTTTACGCACTTCACATGTTTTAGCTAAGCACTCGCTTTTGAACCAATCAATAAGCATCGCTGGTTAGTCGGGAGATGGACACTCACGCACTAGCGCGCACAATGCAGCTCCACAGGCTAGGTAGCGTAGCATGACCTTGACGCGCTCA